GCCCACTGTATGTAAGTATGGCCTTTAGTAGGCTACAGTATTAAAGTACATAATCCACCCAATGAGCACAGAAAAATTCAAAAACTCAATCCATGATCACTGTTAACCACTTCAGTTTATATTTCACTGCATTTAACTAAATTAACTTTTAATATTAAATCTGACTTCTTATCTGCATTATTTCAATATTCTTAAATGTTTCTTTGTGGTTAATAAACTGGAAAATGCTCTCATAACAATATATTTAGTTTCACATTAAAACTAAAATGAACCATATTGGTTTTATTATCTTTTGTTGTGTGTACAGTGATAAAAAGCATGATTACAGAGTTATATTGGGAGGACTAAATTTGATACAAAAGGAGCAAACAGATCAGACTGTGCTGGTTGAGGACACTATCATCCATGAGAAGTTCAAGGAGACCCCTGATGTTGTCTACAATGATATTGGTGAGTATGTAGACATTCATTCGCACAAACAGGATTTTAATAATGATCAGTGTTATAGATTTTACATTTTATTTTTGTTTGGATTTTCTAGTGCTTTCTGTTCTTCAACTCATCAGGCTTTAATTTTGAAGGCCGTGTTTCCTTTTCTTTGCTGTGCTATGCTTTAAAAGTAGGGTAATCATGGCAGGTTTCATCCATAGTCTGTCCGTTTAGCTTCAAATGGCACCTTTGACGACAGTGTTATATAAAAATTATTTGCATTCCGATTCTGACATCCAAAGGCACAACAATAAATTTTTTCTCTTATTCCATAGATTTTACTCGTTTCCCTCCACTTTTTCTGTGTTTTTCTGCCACCACTATGCGCGCGCAGCTGCAAGTAACGTAACTGTGACGTCTACTCCAAATTGGTCGTCAGCCATTTTTAGTTGAAATTATGGCTACCCATAATGTATTGCTGGTGTCTCATACAAAGAAAACAATTGATCTAAAAGCTCTGCTGTAGGATTCTTTATTTAGGCAGAATTTCCAGAAACACACAACAAGACAGGAGAAACCCCTGCATAAAATCAGAAAAAGATCAAAAAGCACAGACAAGGACATGGGAATGAGAATATAAAAATAAAGGCCTGATAAGAATAAGAATTTCTTAATCTGGCTATTTAGTAATAAAAATCACGAGAAGCTCAACAAACTACTTTAAGTCTATACTTTTTATTCTTTCTTGTGGTGTAGCTCTATTAAAACTCAAAGCTACTAACGGAGAATGTGCTAAGGAAACTCAGTTTGTGAAGGCCGCCTGCTTGCCCAAAGCACCGTTTGCAGATGGAACAGAATGCAGAATTTCTGGATGGGGAGCCACAGAGACGTGTATGTTTCCATATGTCTATTTCTGAATTTGTGTTGAACTATGAAAGGACTGACTCTGTTCTCTTTTCCTTCCTGTCTGTAGCAGAGTATGGCTCTGTGCATTTGCTTGATGCACAGGTTTTGCTGATTTCTCAGGAGGCTTGTTCCAGCAGTAAAGTATATGCATCTTTGCTGGATGACGGCATGTTTTGCGCTGGCTATCTCAAGGGAGGAGTAGACTCCTGTCAGGTGGGTCATCATTTTAACTGTATAATGTTGTTTACTATAATTAAAAGGAAATGGCACTGCTGTAACAATAATGACATTAACATTCAACTCTCTTTATGGCAGGGTGACTCTGGTGGGCCTTTAACCTGTGAGAGAAATGAAACACACTATATCTATGGTATAGTGAGCTGGGGAGACAATTGTGGGGAGAAGAACAAGCCTGGTGTCTATACCAGAGTCCTTAAATATTTGGATTGGATCAATGAAAAAATCAGTGTCCCACAGTAGCATGTCCATGAAATATTAGCCACGGTCACAGTGTTTTCTGTTGTGTACTCTGATCTACCAGCAAAGTTTGAGATAATTCTTCTGATGAATTAAAAAATCTTATGTCATCGTGTTATTCTTTTTTTTCCAGTGTGTGACATTGGGATAAATACTTCATTTTATTTAAATTTTAAAATACACAAATATCTTCCAGTTACAGTTCTAGTTAGCTTTACACTAAAAGGTTCAAAAGTTTGGAGTACAAACTAACAAATCTAATCTACACAAAGGCAGAGTGAAATCAAACAACCCTGTGCTAGGAAGGCCTACTTTATCTTCTAAATTCTTTCAACCAGCAGTCCTCCTTTTGGCTTTTTCTTGAGATGGATGGGTAGGTGAGCCCCAGTTCCCAGTAGATCTTTCCACTCACATCTACCTCCCAGTAATGGTGATCAGAGTCCCAGCATTGGATGCTCAAGACGTTAAGGGTGGTGTAAAATCGTCCCTCATGCTCAGGGACATCTTGCCATACATCTGTGAAAGTGGCACAGTCCCCTTCAGATGAAATAATCAGCTTGGGATGGGCAGTGGAAGGGTCCAGGACCACTTCTGAGGAATCTGCTAAATGAAGATGGGTTCAAAACTACCCTAGCTGTTCACAGAGACTGCATTTTTCCATTCCACTGTGCCATTTTTCCATTGTTTTTCTACGTAAACACGCTAGACAGACATCTTTGATGTTGTGTCTCGCATCTTTTGTGGTGTCTTGTGCATGACAAGGTGTTCTACAAACAAGGCAGTCTAGTTTAATTATAAAAAAGTGTCTTGAGACTTTGCGTTATTTCCCTTATTGTACTGCCTATGGGTTGCGGTTTTTCAAGGCAAAAAAACAACAACAAAAAAAAACACATTCTGTGTGAATGTCCCCTTATGGTTTATATATTTGAAAGAATATGGAACTCTATTGTAGTTTGTTTGTCAGTGAACTAAAAAAAAGTAACATTCATTTGCTGCAAATTGTTCATGCAAATGATCATCAATTTTATGTGCTGTTGACAGTTACTCACAGCTCTTCAGCAGCCTCTTAGCGATGGGGATCTGTGAGCGGATAAACAGATGTAAATTGTTGGTGAGGCCCAGTAGCTGATCTGATTTGGCCTCATCAAGTTTTATGAGACCTGGGTCTGTCGCTGTTAGCAATTTCAGCACCCTGCCAACAGAAAGTAGATCAGCACCACAGATAACACCTGTCCTCTATATAAAAGGTTGAGGGTTATATTGAGTTTAAAGTTAGTAACTAGAATTACTATTTGTATGGCTACGCAACCATTTAAAATAATTCAAACCATACCATTCATAAAATTTTCATACCATTAAAAAAAAAAACAAGTAAAATTCTCCCCAAAATGCATTTATTTGATCAAAAATACCATAAAAACAATAATATTGTGTAATAATCTTTTGTAACATTATAAATGTCTTTACTGCCACTTTTGTAATTTAATGAATCCTCACTGAATTAAGAGTAATGTCTAAAATTTAGATTAACACAGGGATACTGCATTGCAGATGTCTTAAGATTTTTCAAAACTAGAATATTAACTGGAATCTACTAAATTTTGAGTGGTATCAGAATATTTTTGTGCATGTAAACTCAATGAGCCCATCCAGCTATAGAATGAATGAAATAATTTAAGAATGTTTGTTCAAGTAAGCGAAACAGTGTTCGTAACAGCACATTAAATAAACCTAAACATGAACTGGATGCTGGATGCTGGATCTCTACAACCAAAATGCCTTTGCAGATGAGTCATTCGGATTTCATTGTGCCGGTGAAGGCTAGAATGTCTGACATAGTGACAAAACAATCTCTCTTAAGTGTGGTTCTAAATATACATACCTGTCTTCATACATTGTGACCTATGAGAGAGAGAGAGAGAGAGGCAGAAATATATAGTGAGAATGCATTATGTTGCAGGGATGGTAGGTTTCACCATGTATTGTTGGTCATTTGAATTGTTGGTCTATTCATGATTTTTTTATATAATGACAGCCCATACCATCCATGGTAGATTAAAGAAAAACAAAAAGATGAAATTGACCTGTCTATTGTCCAGTTGTTCTCCTGATAAAAGGCTCACCCTGTCACCAAGCTGTATGTCCCTGTCCATCATCCCTTCATTCAGCTGAACCTCAGTGTCTCTAAGGAGGACGCAATTTGCCTCAATGAGGTTGTCCAGCGCTCGAACTGCAGCCGTCTTCTCCATCTCCAGCAGGGACAGAGTGATCCTACAGTCCTCCTCCAGAACTCTCTGCATCTCTTCATACTTCTTCACTATACTTGCTCTCATTGAAGAGGACTTTGACTGAGGAAGATGGGGGAATGGTTAGACTCAATTGGGTAATCCAGTAAAATATAGATTAACTGTATTTCATTTAAGTTTATTTTTTTATCGCTTTTGAAAGAAGTCTCTTATGCTCTTTTATGTTTTATATTTTAATATATTAAAAGTATACTGAAGTATACACTAAAACTATAACGATATACTAAAAATATACAGATTTTGTGCTTAGTTTTTGTTGCTTAATATTTGAGTAAAAACCATGGTACTTTTTTTACTGGATTCTTTAATAAAAGAACAGCATTTATTTAAAACAGAATTTGTAACATTACAAAAAAATTGTAACGTCATAAATTTATTTACAGTCACTTTTGATCAATATAATGCATATTTGCTGAATAAAAGAACTAATTTCTTTCTTTTTTCTTTGTTTCCTTTCTTTCCTAAATACAATACAATAAAAATAACTCCTTACTGACCCCAAACTTTTCTACAGTAGTGTAAATACAGGGCTTAAAATAGCCATATACTTACTGTATATAATTATCTTAAATAAAACACATTTGTAAATAATATACTTTAAAAAATATTTATTTTGAAGACGTTTTCACAATTGCAAGTAAATTTCACAAATAATTACACAGAAACGACAATGAACACATCAAATTAAATTTGAAATATTGATGTAGAAAGACTGAAATAGCATTTTCTTGTAAAAACCTACTCCAATAATCTTAAATAAAATGTACAGAGTAGGCTACATAAGATCAAGATAATATTGGACTGTGTTTTTGTGATATATTTAAAGAACCTCTTAATTTTATTTTACACACTAGACTCACTTTGATTTCATTTTGCTTGCCATTCAGTTTCTTCAGTCTGCATCTGATCGCTTCCCTTTGCCTCATGAGATGATCCTGGTTATTTTTTTGCATGTCCTGTTGAAAAAAAAAAAAAGGAATGAGAATTCAGGGAAACTTTGACATTTTTAGGATTAGAAATAAAAGTGAACAAAACTTACCTGACACTGAGCTTTCATGTCACTTTGCTGGACTGAGTTGTTAGACTGAGAGACGGTCCTTATGTTACTTTCACAAATCCTTAGGGGGTAATTTGCAACTCTGTAGATGTTCCAGCAAGCGAGATTTTAAGGAGCTCATGCTTCACTAATAGTGAAAGTAGATCGCATGGGTGGGCCACAGTGGCACGATCCTGCCAGAGATAAATGGCATTCACCTTGACTTGTCGCTGTGATCTGTCACTGCAGCGCTGCTTGCCACCTGTGACAGGACACTCACATAGCGCTTCCTCTCCAGGCCATTTCTAGAGGTGGTATTTAAAGAAGTGGACAGTGAGACATTGTCCCATGTGGATTCATAACAATCAGGCTCTGTAATACAGCCTGTGTATACTTTCTACACTGTGGCTATTAATGTTACTCACAGTGAAACAAAGTACAAGTGGATTCTGGGAAATGCAGGAATGAGAAGGTCAGTTACAGTCTTCATGCAGTAGCACGCAGGAAGGCCTACGATTCAGAACAGTGAGAAGAAGAGAACAGAATGAGTGAACAGAAGAAAAAAAAAGTAAAACTGAACACAAATAGTAAACAAATCTTCATCTTTAAGCTCCTGATCACAGATGAATCCACAAGATGGCAGCAGAGCTTGCACACGGCTGGACATCTTGCCAGAATCAGACCATTCCTTTACAAGATTTATGACAGAAAATGATTTATGACAGATGATGATGATGATAATGCTAAAGTTGATGTTGATAAAGATGAAGATCATAATGTCATACTGACAATCCATGATACATAAAACCATCCCTGCAACAGTAACAGTTTGTATTGTACAATATTTTGCATTCCTTAATTTATACATTAGTATTTAGCACAAATACAATACAAGATGTAAAAATAGATAAGTAAATAAATGAATAATTTCTAAAATAGTTTGCATTCATTTTTCAATTATATCATAAGTTTGTACAATGATATTTTGTACAAATACATTTAGAACATATGTACAAAATAACTAAAATAAATTGTACAATAATATATTGTAAATCCATTTTGAAAATATATAAAAAAATAGGAAAATTAATAAATAATTTGTAGTTTGCTTTCCTTTCTAGTAGTACCATTAGTTTGTACAATAGTATATTGTAAAAAAAAAAAAAAAAAGTAAATAAATAAACTGTTTGTGCAATAATAACATCAGTTTGTATACAACAGTATACATTTAGATGAAATGTAAAAAAAAAACAAAAACAAACAAACAATCAAATAAATAAAAAGTTTGTTCAATAGGTTGCATTATTTCATTAATAGTTTCATTAGTTTATACAAACTAATGTATTTTGCACAAATACATTTAAAAAAATTGATTAAATAAAGTTTAAAATACAATTATCAGATAATTGTCTAAATCACTATTTTAGTAAATGTAAATAAATTGAATTTTTTAATTATTTTTTTCCCCTTTTGGATATATTGCTCTTTTGCACCATTTTAGAAACTTGAGCCAAAGTTATATCTCATTTTATATTAATGCTCTATAGATTTTATCCACTGCTCAGGTTTTCCTTGGTCTAAAATTGTGTGGACAGCAGTGCTGGGGGTAATGCATTACAAGTAACGTGAGTTACGTAATCAGATTACTTTTTTCAAGTAACTAGTAAAGTAACGCATTACTTTTTAATTTACAAGAGAATATCTGAGTTACTTTTTCAAATAAGTAACGCAAGTTACTTTTTTTCCAATTTATTGATTGACAGCTCTCCTGTCCCCATGTTGAGAGAAATCAGATGATGTTACTGTAGTTCTAAAATAAATATGAATTTACATTAATTCATCTCACTCACAAAAAAAACAACACAGATTCAGTATTCCTCAAAATGAATAAAAAGAATGCAACTCAGAATATGACACAACCCTGCAATAATTAAATGTTAAACAACACAAATATCCTTTATGTATTTAATCCCATTCTATTAACCAATGTCTTTGCTTCTGACCTTC